CACCATATACGTCTCAATACCCAACACTTTGGGCCCAATATTATAATTGGTTGATAGGGGCCCAATTACTAAAGTATCTTCGAAGGCTGAAAATTACTAAGACTACATATTGAATGCATGAGTTAATGAAGCCCAAATTTGTGCAATTAACTTATAGCTGGGTAGATTTTACGGTCCGGTTACAGAACCATTCTATCGGGGTTTGTAACCATTAGATCAACTATCCATGACGGTTACATGATGATCTAATGGTTTCAAATTCCCGACGGAAGGATTCCGTAACGGGGTTGTAGTATTTCCTTGTAACTGGAGAATTTTATTTCATTAATTCTAAATATTCCTGTTATACTCACACATATGTATGTGTGACAGTATGAGTATGTGAAAAAATGTATAATAATGACCAGTAATTTCTTATTAGTTTTAATAAACAAGTAGATAAATTTATTGATAGAAAAATAATAGTGATCAAACAAATAATAATAATAATAATAATAATAATAATAATAATAATAATATAATAATAATAATAATAATAATAATAATAATAATAATAATAATAATAATAATAATAATAATAATAATATCCAAAGTGCGGTCTGTAATTTTTGCTCGTGATAAACAGATAGTGGTTGAAATGAATACAACTCACTATCATCTGAGAGATCACCTTATGCTTGGCTTCAATTCAAAGTGCTTATAATACACGTGAGCCTATTTGAATCATAATTGATATGGTTAATTGGTAAATAAATCTTAACCTGTTTGCGTTTGACAATATTATCTCAATTTTTGGATAATTGCAATATAATCCCGACCTCAATTTACTTATTGCAAGTCGAACCTAAAACTGATTGGACCTTCAAAAAACTGGTCGATTTGAAGGCGGTTCGAATAGATCGGAGCTCATATTTACCGGTTCACTTCACTCCAGATCTAGGAGGATACTCATCACCGGTAGCTTACATTGACGTGGAGTTTTTGGCTTTGTGCGTAGATATACGTTAAATACGTAGAAATTGTCAACTTGCTACGAAAACTCGTGTCAAAAGAAGACTTTGACACAAAATCGATCCACAAATCCCTAAAATCAATCACTCTACACCCAAATTTGCAATAAGTAAATTGAAGTCGATATTATATTGCAATTACCCAGATATAGGGACAAAATTGTCAAGCGCAAAAAGATTCAAATTTATTTAGCAATTAACCCTTATTAATAAAATAAGACTCATTTAATTTGACCTTTGGCCTTTCTTAAGCTCATCAATATAAATTGTTTTCCCAATTATATTCTTCTTTATAACTCTTTTAACCGTGACATATTTAATTTCATGTTGTGTTGATTGAGGAATATATGACATGATCTATATCTATGTAGGCTATGTTTGGTAAAACTAGTTGATAAGTTAGCTGATAGCTGATAAGCTATAGCTTATATGTAAATTTTGAGCTTATAGCTTATTATTTATAGCTGAAAAAGCTAGTTTATATGATAAAAGTGTTTGGTAAATTAGCTGATAAGCTAGCTGAAATATAAAAGTTCAACTAGCTTATTTGAAAAACTACCTAAAGTAGCTTATGGGATAAGCTCGAGCTTTTTAAAAAAGCTTGTCCTACCAAACGAGACTTATTTTAATATAGAGAGCTTGTAAGCTAACCAAATAAGCTATAAACTAGCTTATTTGGCTTGACAAACATACCCATAATAAGAATAATCATTTACTATAAATAGTAAGCGAAAAATTCTGCCAAAATTAATTGCGTGTTGGAAATTTTTTAAATTTTCTATTCCATAAAATCAAACAACATTAAATGCTCCCTTAAGTGGTGGGTTTATTCAATTCAAGTTTGTATATTCCATTTTATCTTATCATACATGTAATCACATTCCTAATAAGAATTAAATTTGTTTACATATATCTAAATTAATTACATCAATAATATTAATATAAATGTGTCACATCATGTTGTGGCACCAATCATAATGTGCCACATCATGTTGTGGCACCATAATATGGTGCCACATGTGGTGTCATAGAATTTATGTATATAACTTTCTTTAGTATTTTATTATCGAGAATTAATTAAGGTTATGTTTGGTAAAACTAGCTGATTGATATCTTATCAATAATTTTCGAGCTTTACACTACAATAAAATGATGAAATTCCAACGGAAACATATTTCAAAGAATATTAGTCCAACGGAAATTCCAACGGATATTTCAATACTATTATTTTCGTTGGAATTTTTCAATGGATTCCAACGGAAATTCCAACGAAAATACTCCGTTGGAATGGGTTTTCCATTGGAATTTCCGTTGGATTTTGACGATTCCAACGGTGGATTTTCCAACGGGGATGGAAAAGAAAATTCCAACGGAATTTGCATATTCCAACAGAAATTCCTACGGTAAAAAGCCGTTTGAATTATAGCCGTTGGAATCATCAAATTTCATCTAAAATTCCAATGAAAAACACATTCCAACGGAATATTTCCGTTGGAATTTATGTTGGAACTATTCCAATGGAAGCTATTCCATTGGAATATCCGTTGGAATTTCCATTGGAATATATTACCATAGGATTTTCCGTTGGAATATAACATTTATTTTGTAGTGTTAGCTTATGACTTACAGCTGAAAAACTAGCTTATATGATAAAAGTGTTTGGTAAAATTAGTTGATATGCTAGTTTAACTAGCTTATTTGAAAAGCTATCTAAAGAAGTTTATCAAATAAGCTCGAGTTTTTTTTTTTTTTATATACCAATTATCAAACAAGACTTATTTGAGTACAATGAGCTTATAAGCTATTTGTCTAGTAAACAAAGCTTAAGAAACTTGAGAAATTTATTGTGGTGATGACCATATGAAGTACACGACACGAATGTATAATTTAATTCAAAGCTGCAGTAATTGTAAAAATTGAAAAATTATTAGATAATAGACCTTTAATTTATTATATGCTAATGTAGACATATAGACACTGCCATTATATGCATTTATAAATAATTTGTAATAATATATTTTTGTGTGAGATATATCTTAACAATTACGCGGTCATCGAGTCACGTAGACATGGCCAGTAAACGGGCCGGGTCACAGCCGGGCCGGCGGGCCTCCCATGGGACCCTTAACAGTCCCGCAAAAAATCAAGGGCCGACCCGTCGAACTTGCCATGTCCCAACCCGGTCCCGGACTCGTCCCGCCCCGCCGGGACTAAAAAAAATAACGGACCCAAAAATGACCTGTAAAGCCACGGTGCCAGGTCTCGGAAGCAACAACCTACGGGCTGGTTGCGGGCCGGGCCGGGATTGGTCCGGGACTAGATCGGGAAAGGGACGACAGGCCGGGACCGGTTCGGGAATGGGACCGTCGTCCCGGCTGGCGTGTGGCCACGTCTATAGTCATGCTATAAAACAAAACGACTATGATCATTAATACGCATAATATTCTTGAGAATCATAATCAAATAGTTCACACTTCGATACGACTCGTTTACGTCTCTGACAAAATTTTTTTGTAAAAAAAAAAAATAGTCCCCACAAATCTGCATAATATATCTCACCAATACAGAAGATCAATCCGGGTCCCGAGATATCCAGGGTCGGAAAGCAACAATCAAGATAGCCAAACACCGGTCCACGAGATTATCACACTCTAAACACTTTCTCCTCAAATTATATGAACCAAAAAAAAAAAAAAAACACTATGATTCATGATATAATATTATGCACAACAGCAAAAATAAGTCCTAATCAAGCCATAGTTAATTAATCAAATAACATCATCAATAGACACCAATGGAACCGACGTTGGCAAACCTATCCGACGCAGTCCTAATCACCAGAGACCTAATCTCCGGCGATAGGCCGTCGAATTCCGGACTTTCGTGTATGGTCGAAAGCGCACCTGATCGATCGTAAATTGAGTAAAGTCCATCTCCAGCACGATTCTGCCGGCAATCGCCCCTATTACTTCTCTGCCCGAAGACCGATCGGATGAGCCTGTGCAAGGATCGCGATATCTTGGACTGAGTTTTTCTGTTCATCGGATTCGCCGGCGGCAGTGGCGGAGGAAGG